CTTACATAAAGTAGTTATTGAAAAAATATAGTATTTTTTTTAATGTTGAAAAAGCATTTGACAATTGAATACTACCTGGATGTTATCTATTTATTGTAGTCCAGCAGAAATGAGAATTCTTCAAAGGATGGCTGTATGGATGAGTATCCACAGGGAGATGAAGGAGACAATGACAAAATGTTTATCATGTTGCCATGATCTAGCACTGTGATGCAAGCAGACAGGGGTTTTATATAAACTAAATTTGCTTTACTTAAACACTGTTTATCAGTGATTGCATGATCTCTGTAGATGCCATACGCTAAATAAATAAGCCGAGAAAGGTGGGATTTGTCTCAGCAACATCTGTTTGCATGCTTTAGTATTATCTCTCAACTGTACATATTGCACATCTGGGAATCTGGAAAGGAGGGTGATAGGATGAATGAAGTCTGCTGGGGGTTTCGTTCACTCAATACAAAGATAGGAAAGACACCAGAAGGTACCATTTCAGCAAGGCATATAACTGTGATTGGATTTGCTATTGTCAGTGGGATTAAATTAGACTGATTCATGACAAGCAGTTTTGTCATATTCAGTAGATCTCTGCGTTTGGCTACATATCTAGTAAATTTCAGTTGCTTTGAGGTAGGCAGTAGAGAAGAGTTGCTTATTCCAGAACTCTAATTGCCAAGGCTAAGGAATCAGAAGTTGGCCTTAAATAAAGCTTTAGTCTTTCCTGAGAGTCTTAGGATTTCTGGATTTTCAGTTCACAACTCTTAAGACACTAGACTTGTGCCCCATTTGTGTAATCAGCCTTCTAACCCCATGTAGAAATCACAAGCACAAAAGTTCTGTCCCAGTGTTATGCTGCCATTGGATAGGGCACACTGATAGGCAGGACTGACAAACCAGGCAGAAGTGAGTTGAAGTTTGAACCAATTTCAAGGTATTTTACTCCCTTCTAAGAAGTGCCTCCAGGACAGGAGCGCCCATCTCACGGCGTAATCCTCTTTATCCCACACTGCCCATCGTTGTTCAGTTTCCTAAAAGTTTTTTGGAGGTATAAGCGCAGGGCTGCCACTGCCCACTTTCATTTCCCTGTAGCAGGACCGCTCCGACAGCCACGTCGCTCACATCGGCTTCTATAAGAAATGGCTTCGTTGGGTCAGGGCGCTTCAAGACTGGCTCGGCTGCAAACAAGTGCTTGAGCTTCTCAAATGCGGCTTGGCATTCCGTCAACTACTTAAGTGGCTGACTAGGTTTGGGTTTGTCCCCCCCCTTTTGTATTGAATAAGTTCGTAATGGGGAGAGCTATTTTGGCGAATGAAGGGATAGGTTGCCAGTAAAAATTTGCAAACTCTAGGAAGCTTTTTAGTTGCTTCCTGGTGCTCTGACTTTTGGGGGGCCCATCTTGATCCCTTCATGCAAGATGTGGTAGCCAAGATAGTCTATCTTACTTTGGTGGAACTCACATTTAGAAAGTTTGGCGTACAGCTTGGCAGCTTGTAGTTTTTGGAGGACCACTCTCACAAGTTTCACATGCTCCGCTTTGGTCTCCGTGTAGATTAAAATGTCGTCATTTTATAGAGGCTCATGCAGGACTTCATTGATCAATTGCATAAACAGAGCTGGGGCTCCCTGCAATCCAAATGGGAGTACTTTGAATTGGCAACAAACCAGTGGGCAATTGAAAGCAGTTTTCCACTCATCTACTTCTCTGATTCTCACACAATAATATGCCTCCCACAAGTCCAGTTTGGTTAAGGTTTTTCCTTTGGAAAGGTGGGCCAGCATATCTTTCATCAGAGGTAGGGGGTAAATTTTCTCCATGCACACCATATTTAACCCTCTAAAGCCTACGGATAGATGAAGGGTCCCATCTTTCTTTTCTCGGAACAGGACTGGGGCCGCCACCTGTGGCCATGCTGGCTGAATGAAGCCTTAGGCTAGTTTTTTTATCAATGAATAACTAGAGTTCTTCTGGGGGTCATTGAGTATAGTTTCAGCTTTGGCAATTTGGCACTGGGCAGGATTTCTATAGCACAGTCAATAGATGCATGAGAGGGGAATTCATCCAAGCTCTTCTCACTAAACACCTCTTGGAGGTCTCGATACTCTTTGGGGAATCCTTCCCTTGCATGACTGCCCCTAGTTCATGCTTCAGGGTAGTCCCCTTAATAGATTCCTTTCGGGTTTGGGAGGAGTGGTTTATTTGAAACTTTAGCAGTTCTTTTACCTGGTTCACATAAGGCCGTGGTGGCGAACGTGCCACAGGCGGCACACGGAGCTGTCCCTGTGGGCACGCGCGCCATAGCCCCGGAGGGAGGCGGGGCCAGGCTCCTCCCCTCCACCTCTCCATGTGTGCCTGTGCTCTTGCTTTCTCTGTCTCTGCACTCTGAGTCGGAGCAGCTGCAAGAGCTGGGCAGATCCTAGCTGGATGGTGGAGGCAGCTGCCAGTGTGAGTCCAGATAAGCCTGCAGAGCAATTTCGCGCCCCCCCCCAATCTGGGCAGTAGAGGCCTTTTCCAAGCCTCTGGAGGTCAGATCAGGCCTCTGGGCCGCTGCAAAATTGCCCCATGGCCATGGATTTGAGCTCTGGAAGGAAGGCAGGGCAATCCATGTGGGGGGCGGGGGGAAACGGTGGCACACATGCCATAAGTTCACCACCACAGGTATAGATCATCACTCAGCCCATCTTTGAAACAGCTGATGAGGATGTCAATTAAGTCAGCATACCAGGTTGCGGAACTCTTCAGTGTACTCCACCATGGCTCTGCGTCCTTGCCTCTCAGTTTTGAGGCGATCTCTGGTTTTTTGGTCAGTGAGAAGGTCCTTAAACCGACAATGGAGAGCGATCATAAAATGATCAAAGTTCCTCAACTCAGGATCATTCGCATTCTGCTCCTTCCAAAGCCAATGTAACACACTTCACTTTGGCACCTTTGTTAGGGATATCTGGTCCGTACTCCTGCATGTAGGTCAGGTTGTGGACCAGGAAGAACCCCAGTTGCTGGGAGTCCCCATCAAACTTCACACCCAGTGGTGGGGCTTTTCTTCTTCGTGGGTTATAGCTCCAGTGTCCCCTGGTCTGGTGGTTCTGGCACACCCCCTTGTGCCGCTCCCACAGTGCAGCTGCCCTGGCTGGTGTCGCTGAGACTCCCACCATGGTGTCTAGTGGCAAGGCTCTCCTGCCATCCTTCTCCTCTCAGATTTGACAGAGGTCGTCCTGGCTAGGGTCTTGTGCACCTTGAGGCTCTGGAACGCTTCCATCATGGTGCACATGGCTTGCCTCATGAGGAAGTTGGCATTTTCTTCCTCTTCCAGCTCCACTTGCCATTCGTATCATCAGCTGCCTTGGGTGAGAGTCACTCCTTTAGTTCTCCCTTCCCAGTTGTCCTTCTTCCTGATGCCAGTGGACATCCTGGGGTTCGACGAATCTCCCAGGCTGGTGACCTCTTCTGTCATCTGGAGAGTTCCGCCCTGGGGTTAGCCTTGGCAGGAGCTCCCCCCCCCCAGCACTCAGCTTCCTCTTGGTTGCTGCCTTGTGCAGACATTCCTTGCACAGTTCTCATGGTAGAGGTGGGTGCCTCTCCGGGAGGACCACTATTGCAGATTCCACTTAATGTAAGGACCTGCCCCAATTGGCCCTCTCAGGAAAGCACAGCTCTTGACACCATGTGATTAAACAAAAGGACTTTTACTGAAAGACAGTGGTTGCAGTAAGATCAAGCGGAATCTAACATTCCCACACAAAGCATCAAGCTACTCTTCCCACTTTGAAACCCTACCCCCCTGATCAGTCCACCAGCAGCCAATACAATGCGGCAAAGGTGTTTTGAGAATACTGAAGCATAGGACAGATAACAGGTCATCTTCAGGGTGCAATGGCCTTGGAGTCAGGTGGAACCAGCTGGGAGTCCGTTCCATCTCGGAAGACAATCCCCCTCCCCAATTCCAAAGCAGCTACAGCATTACAGCAAAAGTACGCAAGGAATACTGTCCCAAAGCATCCTCCTTCCCCCTTCACCAATGGCCAGGCACCTGAAAAAGGGGACCTGACAAGGAATTAGCTTTCATTTTTTTATATTGGATACACGATGTAATTCTTGTAAACTCTGATTTAAGTATCTAATAGCAGCTCTATAAAGTATTTATTTATTTGGTGGATGGCTCTACGACTTGAAGAAATAAAATGTTGATGTTAGAGGTGGGCTGCATAACTTGCATTATGAAAACTTCTTCAGATTGCTAACTTTACAAGCCATTTGAGAAACAAGGTGCTTCAATATTCTTTGTGAATTTATTTTTTTCCCACTTAAGAAAATGTTGACTACTATGTTGAATTCATGCAATGCACTTTGAATCAGAAGATATCTTATTCAAATCTTTTTCCCCTGCTACTGGTTCATTAAGAGAAGTTAGACAAATCATCACCAGACTCTCATCACCAGACTTCCTCTACCCATGTTGGCATCTGTAGGATTTCATTTAGGCAGACATGCAAAGTTGCAACATATTTAGAAAAGGGATGAGATCTTCTGACACAAAATTACAATGTTGCTTTGACACACATCCCTCCCCCCATTGTCTACACTCCACTCTGTAGTGTGGTGATGGTGGGTGAGGTTTCCACCTCTGTTCAATACAAAAAAAATTAGAGCCAGCATATCCCTAGCAGATGGATGTCCAACAGTGCCTGAAGTTCTTCAGTATTGGAGTGTCCCTCCATTCCGTAGATATTTGGTTCTGTTTATAGAGTTGCTCATAGAAGTGATTTAGCTTTTGTATTCAACAAGCTGGATGGAGTCACTGAAGCAGTAGGTGTGAACTTAAATGGACTCCAGAAGATGGTAGAGGACAGGAAGACCTGGAGGAATGTTGTCCATGGGGTCGCGATGGGTCGGACACGACTTCGCAATTAACAACAACAACAATTCAACAAGCTGCAGTAAATGATATCATTACCATCTTAAATGATCGTTGCTGTGGATTAAATTTGCCTACTGTTTCTCTTTGCAGGTTCTTCTGAGTCTTCCTGACCAGCTGTCTCTTGCATGCAAACCATCCTCTGGGGAGTTGGCATGACAAGCTTGAAGCCAAAGCATCAGTGGAATTGCAAAGGATGTGGAAGCAGCCCGGCTGTTTGCTCTCTCTGCCTGGATGTTTTGCATTCTTCTCCTTGCATCTGGTGGGAAGATCAATGACTAGCCAGCCTTAAAGAATCTGAAAGACTGATTCCTTCTCTCCTAGTCGGAAAATGACAATAGAATCAGCAGAAATAGTACCCTAGATTGGCAGTGCCAGTCAGAATAGTGAAACACACACTTTTCTCTTGGGAATTCATGAGCAAGGAAATCAGTTCCATACTACAACCATTACCACTCGCTCATCCCTCAAAAACCAGACTAGAATTGCCTGCAATCATCTTCACCGAAGGCATGGTGTATTAAATGTTAACTATGAGAATTCCCACCCGAGGGAAGAGAAGCTTTCCTTCCAATGTTTCAAAAGGAAAAAAAACTAGCTGTAATTTTACATACACCCCACAGTGGAGTTAGTAATCAACTTGGTTCCCAGATTGTTCTGATGGAAAAGGTCTACAACTAAATGTTTTACACTACTTTAAAGCTTTAGAAGGCTTTAAATAGTAGGGGAATATTCCTTGTATAATTGGGTAGGGGACTCTTTCTACAAGCAGAATTTATTTTTTAAAATGGCAATTTACTTTTTGTAGTTTGGAGACTTTTGTTAAATTTGTAGCATAGATCCATAGCATGGAAATATGCATCCAATCATAACAAGTTTTCTTTTGTTAGTAGATTAGCTCTCTTAAGTGAAAAGACATTGGCCAGAAATGGGTTAATGCTTTTTCACATCTATCATATCCTGATCAGTGTCATGATAGAAGCTGAAGTGAATCTATAGTGATTATCCCAGGATAATTAAAAATGAGTTTTTCCCCACTAGGTACGTTAGTTTTCAATCCTGTTTCAATTTATATATTTGTGTTCACTGTGGTTATTTCCAACAACATTCAGGCAGGTATTCTAGAAAAACCCACAAATACACTGTATAAGCCACAGTTCTCACCCTGTAGGACCACCATGATTTTAACTTTTTCATAGTGATTTGCCTATCCCTGCCTGCCCCACCACAATTCTCAGGAGTTCTGCATCCTTTAAGAGACTCACATCAAGAAGGAATTCAAGAACCATTTGTTTAGTGACCATTCAAAGTTACAACAGCACTGAAAAATGTGACCTGTTTTCACACTTGCGATTGTTGCTGTATCCTTATGTCACATGATAAAAATTCAGGCGCTTGGCAGCTGGCATATTTTATGGCAGTTGCCCTGTCCTGGGGTCATGTGATCACCCTTTGTAACCTTCCTAGCCAGCTTCTGACAAGCAAAGTCAATGGGGGAAGCCAGATTTATTTAACACCACATGGTTCACTCAACTGCAGCAATTCATTTAACAACAGTAGCAAAATGGTCATAAAATGAGGCAAAACTCACTTAATAGAAATGTTGGGGTCAGTTATGGTCGTAAACTGAGGACTACCTGTAGTAACACTTTCTTGAACTAAAGTATTGAAGATGAATCACATCAGCCAAAACAGAAAACAAAAAACAAAAAAACACATTTGTGTAGTAGGAGATATGTCTACAGCAGGGGTCTTCAAACTTGGCCCTTCTATAACTTGTGGACTTCAACTCCCAGAATTCCTCAGCCAGGCATGCTGGCTGAGGAATTCTGGGAGTTGATGTCCACAAGTTATAAAAGGGCCAAGTTTGAAGACCCTTGGCCTACAGGAACTATTGTAATTATTATTTATTTATTAAAAGTTATCCATTCCAGTCTTTTATTAATAGATTTTTAATACATTGGCACATGTGCTGGTGAGAATTCAAATAGTGCTGGTGAGAATTCAAGTCAGCTCTAATCATTTTCTATGTACAGTTCTTTATATCTCATCATATAATAATAATAGTAGTAGTAGTAGTAGTAGTAGTAGTAGTAGTAAAGTTGGAAGGGACTTCCAATTCATAGAGCAAAATGGACATTGCCAAGAAATACAGAGTGCTTGGGTATGGTTAGGAGGGTACGGACTTTTCTAGCCTGCCCTATCTATGTTTCCTGGTAAAATACATGGGAAAATCCACTTAGGGTTAGGGTTAGGTCACCATGAACTCATAGAGCAAAATGGACATTGCCAACAAATTCAGAGAGTTTGGGTATGGTTAGGAGGGCACTGATTTTTCTAGCCTGCCCTATCTATAGGTCACCATGAAGTCATAGGAAGTCGTGGGGCTGCAGTATTTTGAGAAAACCAGGGGTGTGGGTTCTTCCTATGAGAATTCACTATCCTTCAGTAACTGTACAAACATGACTAGATGGAAGGCTCCCGTTTCTCCTCTCCAGCTTTACATAGATTCCACTAAATGAATGGGATTTACATATTTGTTGCAATTTTTTGTGATCACATAAATCCATCATCACTTGTCTCATTGAAATCCCATTCCTGTTTGACAGCAGCTAACAGAAATGCCTTTGTGAATGTAGGATCTGTATAACAACAACAACAACAATAAAAATAGCTGGGAAAGCAGATATTAACAAGACCTGGCAATGGCTAAGAGCAGGAAAATTGAAGAAAGAGACCGAGGGACTAATTCTGGCTGCACAAGACCAAGTCTTAAGGACAAATGCATATAAAGTCAAAACTGAGAAGACAGCAACAGACAGTAAGTGCTGCCTATGCAAAGAAGCTGAAGAAACAGTGGACCACTTGGTAAGCTGCTGCAAGATCGCACAGACTGACTACAAGCAGCAGCATGACAAAATAGCAACAATGGTGCATTGGAAGATATGCAAGAAATATCATTTGCCTGTAAGCAAGAACTGGTGGGATCATAAAATAGAGAAAGTCATAGAAAATGATAAAGTTAAATTGCTCTGGGAGTTCAGAATTCAAACAGACAAGCACCTGCAACATAACACCCCAGACTTAACAATTGTTGATAAGAAAGACAAAAAAGGCTGGGTAGTGGACATGGCAGTGCCTGGAGACAGCAGAATAGACGAGAAAGAACTGGAGAAGATGACAAAATACAAAGACCTACAAATAGAAATAGAAAGACTGTGGCAAAGGCAAGCAAGGGTAATACCAATAGTAATAGGTGCCTTGGGTGCAAAACAACTAGAGCACTTGAACACCATTGGCACTGACAAATTTGCCATTAGTCAATTTCAAAAGGCGACCTTACTAGGAACTACTTCCATCCTGCGACGATATCTGTAATACCATCAAACATCCAGATCTTGGTAAGGACTCGATAGGTAGACAAAAATGCCAAATCCAGTCTGAACATCTGGCTGACTGTACAATGATGATGATGATTATTATTATTATTATTATTATTATTATTATTAATAATAAAGTTGGAAGGGACCTTGGAGGTCATCTAGTCCAACCCCCTGCTCAGGCAGGAAACCCTACACCATTTCGGACAAATGGTGTAGGGTTTCTTAAAAACTTCCAGTGTTGGAGCATTTACTGCTTCTGGAGGCAAGCTGTTCCACTGATTAATTGTTCTCACTGTCAGGAAGTTTCTCCGTAGTTCTAGGTTGCTTCTCTCCTTGATTAGTTTCCACCCATTGCTGTTCCTCTTTTGCCACAAACTCTCCTGCTACTTATTTTTGCCATATTTATGCATTTTCCCATCCTCTTTCACCCTACTGCTCATATCACCATAACCACTGAACTACTAAACATTGTCCTTTGAGGGTAACAACTAGAAAATCATTGCCATATCTAGACTAACACTGTAGGGTCCTTGGTGGTCTCTGAGCTTGGTTGCTTTCTTGGAGACGTTTAATTAGCCAACTAGGTAATATCATTATTGCTAGAAAGGAGTACGTTCTCTGTTGCTTGCCCTTTCAGTGTTGGTGAGAGTTGTTTTCTTCTTGCTGATTCCTAAATTGGGATATGGTTTACTGCTTGATTATTCATCTAGTATTAATCCTGGCATTAGTTCCGTTTTTCTGGATGCTGATTGCTGATGAGGTGTTTTTAGTGTTTTTGTTATTTTTTTTAGCCTTTTGAATGGTATGTTGTTTATCTCTATGTGTCCGTTGATGGTTGATTTGACATAAACCCCACCAGATGATAGTACTGAACAAGAGTCTGTACCTCTCTGCAGCCATCTAGTAGTTGTCCAGATTTTTACTGTCCAGCTCTGGAAACCCTTATTGAGAAAAGAATGGTGGATGAGTTCCATAGCTGTTCATTCCATTCTATATTATGCATATTGTCTCCCTTTCATTCAAAAGAGGGAGCAATAGAAAACCAACTGCTAGGTGAACCAATGGGCAAACTAAGATACTCTGACAATGATGCAGTAGTTCCTAATCAGAGGGAGTAGTTCCAATCCAGCAAAATATTAGTATTGCCATTAGTGCATTACAGTATCCATGCACCAGCCAGTGACTGTTGGTCGGAAAGATGCACATTTGGGAACAAGCTGATGATCAACTGTTCCTCAGTAGAAACAGCAGATGTTGTTTCAGTTTTTCTGATTATACAGAGCAGCTTCCTTGGTACAAAAGTCACATATTAGTAGATTCAATTATGATTTTTTTAGTGACTACTCTGCTTTAACTCCATTTTTTGCTTGTTGCTATGTGACAGACAGAAAGTCAGCAGGTGAAGCTGTTCACTACTACTGGAGTTTGTGTATTAATTTTAGCTTAGCAGTATGTGTATTTGTGTTGCTTTATCTAATTCTTTAGCTCTGCAAATCACAGAATCTCTGTCCAAAAGTGGATTGAGCAGATGACTTTCCAATCTGCAAAGGAACAAGACAAATGTTTACTAATTAGAGATACCACAATTATGTAAGAAGGATAAAAGGTAGTTTTCTCCTTTTTTAATTCACAGGATGGGGTACTGGTGCTAGGAGAGCCTTTCAACATCCTGTAAAATCTAGTGGGCTGAATTGGAATTCCTGTTGTCTCATGGCTATAGATGATGGCATTGTGGTCCAAAAAATATTGAGGACAGTGCACCAAGGATTTTGTGGGAGAATGCTAAACAACTGCTTCACTGACATTCTTCTCTCTCTCTTTCTCTCTCCACAACTGATAAAAGTTCTCGGGGAACATTCAACGCTGTCGGTGAGTTTTGTCAGTGAGGTCAAACCATCGACTGTTGAGTGTACCCTGCGGCCTTTGCAGACACTGGAAGTGAAGGACCACCACACTGCTGGAGTAAATTAGTGGCTTGCTCCCATCAGCATGTCACACTTCTGTGCCAGACTTTTTCAGTGTCACTTGTTTTGCCTCCTTCCAGCCCAGTGCAAATCGGCAAGCCTTAATCCCCCTTAACTCTCTCCCCTGCCCACACTTTGCTGGGAAGGTTAAATTATTTCTGGGAAACCATTGCTGGAAGAATCTTCTACCTACTGGGCAGAGTCTCCAAAACTAAAAAGTCACAATCAACATTCATTCTGTCGGTGGGTTGTTATGCTGGAGGAGAAGCTCACTGATCAGTGAATGCAACTGTGGCTGGAAAAAAACACTTGGCCAGCAGGAGGAAATCCACCTTTTACTTCCCCCTTTGAGAAAACTGCCCTTTTATTTCTACTCTGCCTGGTTAGCAGTGTTTAAGAGGACAGATCCCTTATCCCATAGCTGTTAGGGTTACTCAATTGTCTTTCATGACAATTTTTTTTTTTAAAAAATAAGTATACAATGACCCTTTTCTTGTGTGGCATTTCTATCAGTCCTAATGACAAAATGTAGATTTTGATTGTTTAGAAATGTTTTATGGCCCCCTCATCTTACATGTGAATTCTGGGAGGTTAGCAATAGAAAACAAAAGACATATAATGAAACCTCTACTACTCAGATAAAACACAACATTAAAATAATCACAGGATGAAAACAGCAAAATTCAGTCT